ATCTATCTATCTATCTATCTATCTATCTATCTATCTATCTATCTATCTATGTGTGTATATATATCTATATTATCTTTGAATTCAATAAACTACCTGCTTTTTAAAAAGTTAGTAAAGTTCTTTGTACCTGTGGATATGTACATAATGATTTAAAATGTAATAGAGATAAAAAATTGTGTATGTGTGCAGATAAACATGTATATTCTAGCTAGTAAGGAAGTACTGCTCGTAAGTGCCTGAACCTTCACGCTGAGAAAAGTTTCCACACCAAGCTCTGGGCCAACACTGCAGAGTAATGTCTGCACTGGCCAGGGTGACAGGTAACTCATACATGCATGCAAGGATAACGACGTGGCCCCATCAACAATGTCCATAATATCTGAGGAAATGCTTCCAGTAAAATGCCTACCTTTGCCCTGGTTTTTGAACAGTAGAGTTATATACATAGCATAGGAATTTTAATGTCCAAAGGACAAAAACCAAACCAAACCAAACCAAACATAAAATGCCTGCAAAGTCTTCCAACTTCAAGGGCACAGGTTAGGGGGCCACATTTTCACATTGTGTGACAGACAGTGGAACCAGAATATGCTGAAAGGCAGGTGGGCAGGGTGGCGGGGACCAAAGGTCACGTCTCAGGAAACAGCAGAAGAAATGGGCACTTCTTTTTGCAGAAGATTGACAGTGTTTTCTGAGCTGCAGGGCTGGTCTGTTTTGTTTCTCTATACAAACGATGGCTGACAGTTACCTGGAGATAGAGTTCCTTAAAAACGATTCACTGTTGCCAGCAATGAAGCAGGCTGTGTCTCAGAAGAGCTCATGGCTCTGGAGAGTCCACGGCAGGAGGGTCTTTGTAGCCACAGCCAAGGGAGTCTTGTTTTGTTCAAGTTCAGGGCAGAGGGCCAGGGGGAGCCTTTGGGTTTGAGGTCCTGGTAAAAAGTGCTGTCTGCTTGTGCTGAGAGTCAAGGTGAAAAGAACCAGAGCTGGCTTTTGAGAAGCAACAGCAGTCTACACACTGCATCTAAGAGGGGGAGCCTTCCTTGGCTTCTCAGAGACCCCTGTGGCATCTTTCCTTATCGAGACACCAGCTCTTCTACCCAAGGTCAAAACGAGCAATGGTCCAATGATGATCTTTCTATAAAATTATTATTAATTATTAATTATTATTATTTATTTTTTAAAGATTTATTTATGTATATGAGTGTTCTATCTGCATTTACATCTGCCAGAAGAGGGAATCAGTTCACAGCATAGATGGTTGTGAACCACCATGTGGTCATTGGGAATTGAACTCATGACCCTTGGAAAAGCAGACAGTGCTCTTAACCACTGAGCCATCTCTCCAGGCCATTAATTATTATTATGTATTACAATTTATTCACTTTGTATCCCGGCTGTGGCCTCCTCCCTATATCACCCTTTCTCCCTCTTCTCCTCCCATGCCTCTCCCCTAGTCCACTAATAGGGGAGGTCCCCTCCCCTTCCCTCTGACCCTAGCCTATCAGTTCTCATCAGGACTGGCTGCATTGTCTTCCTCTGTGGCCTGACAAGGGTGCTCCCTCCTCAGGGAGAGGTGATCAAAGAGCAGGCCACTGAGTTTATGTCTGGGAAGGTCCTTGTTCCCCTCACTTGGGACCCCACTTGGAGACTAAGTCTATGGGCTACATCTGAGCAGAGGTTTTAGGTCCTCTTCTTAAAATTGTTTTTTAAAGGCAAACATTTCCTCTCCCACCTTGCTGCTAGATGATGACCACGGGGCCCGTGAACTGGATGGTGAGGATGCGGGCTGCTGTTGGTTCTGACAGGAGGAACTTACATGTTATGCAGCCCTGAAGAATAGTAGGACAGGGTGGGGCTGGGGGAGCGAGTCTGTGGCCGAACTGGCTTGATCGTGCGAGGAGGGACGGAGGGACTTGTGGATAAAGGCTTTGCGCTTCGGGGTGGAACAGGCGGGGCGTTCAGGAGCCGGCATTCTTCCCTGACCTGGTGTGGGAAAAGAACACTCCAGGTTAGCTACAGATGAAACTTGGGCAGGGATTGGGGGATGGGGGTGAAGGGGTGAGGGTGGGATTGGGAGCAGAGCTCCATCTTGCAGGGTCAGTATTTGCAGTATTAGATAAACGATGTATTAAACAGCAAAGGTCGTGAGTAAGCAGGACACATGTGCGTGCACACACATACACACCTGCCACAAACTGCTGGGAACAGACTGATCTAGAAGGAAAGTGTGTGGTGGATGTCAGCTTCTGTGGAAATGCAGCAAGAAGTGGGAAATAAAAGCTTGAGAGATGCAAGGATGCATGGAGCAGGCGTGGATGTGGGAGGCGGTGAGGGCGTCAGTCATGACAATGAGGGAGTCCTGTTCACTTTCCAAACAGCATCCAGTCTGACCCAGCCTTTGGGAATGTGGACCTGAACTGCTTTTGTGTGTGCGCATACACTTGGATGTGCATCATGTGCGAGCTGGTCCATGGTATCTATTTGGAGGTCAGAGGACAGTTTACGGGACTCTGTTCTCTGCTTCAACCGTGTGGGTCCTGGAGATTAAACACAGGTCATCAGGCTTGGTGACCTCTACCCATTGAGCCTCCAGGGCCAAAATGTGGGCCTTCTGCAGGGTTGGAGCTCCACCGGCAGTATGCCTGGTGCCTCTCAAATATCAGCGTGTGTGAATTAACGGTGACCTTGGTTAGATGCATATGTGACTTTAGGAGATCCAGGCTGGGACCTGAGAGTTGACATTTCCTGTCTGTTTTTATGGTGTTGCACTCAGGACTCAACACGCTAGGTAGATATTTAAGCAGGTAAATAACGAGCCCTTCCTGAAGTTGTTCTCTGAGGCCACACACAGGGTGGCTCATGTCTGTAATCCCAGGACTCAGAAGGCTAGAGCAAGAGGAATACCATGAGTTTGAGGCTAGCCGTGGCTACACAGGAAGATCCTGCCTCAAGAAAGCTCCCAGCTGGTTTTTCTTTGTCTTTTCTTCTTAACTGGGTAGCTGAGATTACAGACAGGAGTTACTATGTCTGCACTTCTAACAAGCTCCAGCATGAATGCTATGCTACGGGTCCAGGATCCACACAGCCATAGAGGGAGCAATGAGGAATCACTGCAATTCCAGAACTTTTACTGATGAAAAGTTACCCCAGCCAGATGACCTCCATTCATCTTCACACTGGGGATGATCGGTGACCCAGGATGACCCAGGGCGCCAGCAACGAGCTGTTCTTACCTAAGCTGGCTCTCCAGTCCCAGTAGCTTTCCCCAGTACCATTCTGAGTCATGAAGTGATAATTGGCATGCTCTTCTCCAAGTTAGACAGCAGAGGGCACTTGATGCCTGGTTGTGCTAGTCCACCCTGAACCATGGCCTATTCAGGGGTCTGTTAAAAACGCTGAGTTCCGAGCTATCTCCACCTGCTTTTAGGTAGTGTTTCCTGCATTTCTCTCACTCTTTCCTTCAACAACTTGTTTTGGGGATGGAATAGCAAGTGTTTTTGATGGAATAGCAAGTGCCCAGCAGCTTTGGTGATGAGGATGCTGACGATGAAATGAACAGGCTCATATGATAAATATATTTCATTCTTGACTGCATACTGGGCCTCCAACTGGAGTCCCAGGCTTGCTTCACTTGCCAAAGAAAATGCAGCCATATGCTCAAGAGTAGTGCCTTGGACCTTGATTTAAGTGAGAAGGAAAATATTTTTTTTTAAATTAATTTTTTGAGAAAGAATTATTATGTAGCTCAGGCTGGCCTTAACCTTGGTATGTACTCTGAAGGATGCCCTTGAACCCATCTTTATGCCTACACCTCCCAAATGCTGGGACTACAAGTATACCCTACCACACCCATTGAGAGTGATTTAAAGAGCATCACTCGCTGTATTTCGGCAAAAGCCCAGGGGTCTCTGCTTCTGCCCATAGAGTCCTCAGCCCTGGCACTGGGTTGGGAAGAAGAGAGCTCTTCATTCAAGCAGCTCTACAAGTTACAGCTAAATACTTGGTCAGGAAATTTCCTCTTCAACTGCTAGAGCAAGTTTTCTGTTTTCGAGCCTTTAAAATCAGGTGTGCTGCAGAAGCATATCCCTTACCAAAGAAGCTCTCTTTGCAGCAGATACAGACCATTACAGGAGCACAACTGGTCACAATGCAGAGAACGGCTGATCACGTAGAGGGTGCATCCCAAAGGATCCGTCAGTGGCACAACCCCTCCACCTAAGGCTCACGAACTGTTTTGGAAGAGGAGGTGGAAAGACTATGAGAGCAAGAGAACCTGGAAATCTGCTGTGAGATCTTCTCCTAGAAATGACAAGGAAGCTACACCCATGATACCTCAACAATATGGCCGCCTAAACAAGACGTGAACAAGGACACCACCAATAGACAGGCTAAAGTAGAAGGAGTAAATATTATGGGGTTCCGTGTTCATACAAAAAAACTACAGGCAACTAAGGGTGGGAGTAATCTTTCTCCAGGGAAGAGTCCCCCAAAGGATTATCCAATATCAGGTGGTCAGCTCAGAAACCATGTACATGCAAGCAACATGAAAAGTAATCAGCAGGGGGTATGTATATATGTGTGTTTATCTATATATTTGTAACAATAACAATTATAGACAAAGAGGCCATGAATTTGAGAGGGAATGGGATGGTTGAAGGGGAAAAAAAAAGAAATGGAGGGAAACAATTATGTTTTTACTTATTATTGACTTATTCACTTTATTTTACATGAATGTTTTGCCTGCATGTATATATGTGTACATATGTGTGCTTGGCACCCACGAAAGTAAGAATAGGGCATTGAATCCCTTGGAACTGGAGTTATAATTGGCTATGAACCACTATGTGGGTGCTGGGAATAGAACCTGGGAATAGAACTCTCTTCTGGAGGAGCAGAGAGTGCTTTTAACCTCTGATCTTTCTCTCCAGTCCCTTAATTATATTTTAATAAAAATTAATGAAAAAATTAAAAGGCAGTATACATTTTGATTCCAGCGTTTGGAGACAAATCATGCGGATCTCTGTGAGTTTGGTTACAGAGCAAGTTCCAGGCCAACTAGCGCCACACAGTGAGACCCTGTTTCAAAAACCAACCCTCCTTTCCCCCCAGTAAAACAGGGGGCAGTGGTGGACAGCTACAGAAAGAAATCCCATAAGCAGTGAAGTCTGGAGAGCTGTGTGTGTGTATGTGGGGGGACTGTTGAGTTGACAGCATGGGGGCCGCCTTTTCTTAAGAGGGATTGGTCAACATGTCAAGTTTTTAAAATAAACGATTTCTTCTCAATATCAGAATTAAGTGGAATGTGAAGAAAAAAAAGATTAGTGATGAATTCAATTTATTCTACATTTTAGAGTCAGTCATTGGGTATGATACTTCATCAGGAATGGCTTACCTCACCTAGCAGTGGCAGTGTGCTGAGATGCCCACTATAATGTGCATTTCAATGAAAAATAATTGGCTGACCTTAACACTGGAACTCAGAGAAGCAGCCACGTGCAGCTGAATATGACCTGAGGGTGTCCCCTCTTCCTGTTCTTATGGCCAAAGGCACCAGGAGCTGTTGGGACAGCACCTTCATAGCTGGGCAGTCCTGAAAGCTGCCCATGGATAGGGTGGAGGTAGACAGTGAAAAGAAGCTTTTGTAAATGTCGGAGCCTGCTGTGAGGGGAGCTGTGGCTCACAGTGTTTACAGTTGAACTTCAAAATGAAATCTGAGACCCAGGCAGCATTGGGACCTTCCACAGGACTCCTGAAAGGAGTTTGGGTCTGACTCAGTTCAACATGAAAAGAGCAAGCTCCCTTAAAACGTCTTTTGGAAAAATGGTAGCGTTAAAAGTGACACCTTTTCCTTGGCAGGGATTGCAAGCATTGTTCTGCAAAGGCAGAGAATGAGGGGCTTGTTGTCCCAGGCGAGCAGGAAGGGCAGTCCTGGGTGGGTGAGGTGGCCGGGAAGCCACAGCTCTGTGGATGGGCACTTTGAATGTGGGTTGCAGCTGTGGCTTGTCTGATGGTCTTATTTTACGGCGTATTATGGAAAGGCTTACACGCTTCGGTGGGATGTACACATTCTGGCACTTGGAAGTTATTAATAGTGAGGGTTGGTTGTGCCTCTTATTTCTTTTATTGCCTCTTATGGTCTTGCATGCCAGCTATCACCCTATTCTTCTTTGCTTCTTGACTTGATTCAACACAAGACATTTATATGCAAGAAGAAGGTAGCTGTGCTGTAAATGAATTTTACCCGACAATAAAAGGCAACTGGCAGGGCCGGATGGGTCAAGCAGCCTATTTCCTGCTTTCTCTCATATTCAATTTCACTTTTAAGAACTACATGTGTCTAGCACATTCCTTCTGGAAGTCTCTGCATGTGGCTTTCATTGTGTTCTTGCCTAGTGGATGAAGGCCAGCCTTGTCTGGTCTTCTGCTGAGCCCTTTATGAACTAGCTTTGACCCATATTTCTGGCTGTTCCCCAGACTCCTCTTCCTCTTTCTGTGCCATCCCCCCCGCCCCGCTATTCTTCCACAACAATGGATCTAATTGGTAGATCCACTTCTATTAAAGGACTTGTGCTGCCCTGCCTCTCCTCTGTAAGCATGTAAGACACGATACTGCGCCTCATAGGGGAGGGTGATCTGGCTTGTTTTCAGTATTTAAAGCTGAGCTTCAATTGGCAACAAGGTGCCTGTGTTTCCAGGAACAAACTCTAATCTTGGGCTACCTGAGAGACAACATTCTGTTTTAAGGTGAATGTGGCCATCCATCCATCAGATTATGGGTGACCTTTGCTCATCTGCAGAAGACATCTGGATGTTCTGATGTTCCTAGCACCAGTCTCCTACTGTTTAAGCAAAAGCCAGAGGACACAATACGGATCCAGGTGACAGTGTGAAAGCTGGCTCCTGTCTATGCCCAGAGCCTTCATTTCCAGGAGTCTTTTTTCCTCTGAAATCTCAGCATCTTATCAAATATATGTCACGAATAC